GTCAAACATTCATACAGTTTTCTTCTAATTATCATTGCTTATTACAGAATGGACATTGGAATGCAGCCACAGAGGAATAAATTGATTTGGGTGGTGTCCTCCGTCGAGAAACGGGTTTTATTTTCCTAGTGGATGTGATAGAAAGTGTGAGGAAGAGGCAGGGCTTTGAGGAATAATTGCAGAGGAAGGGCTCTGGGAATGTTGTCTTTAAAATGATCGCTGCAAAATAAGAGTGAAACCAGCGGGCGAATACACATCTTATTTTTTGGCCACTATTTTGTAGACTCAGTAGCTGGTAATTGGAGAGGGAGCATACAAAGCCAGGTTGGGTCATTCATCAGTTGCATCTATATTATAATACATTTAAAATATAGGTAGGAGATTGCAGTGTACATATGATGTATGACTGCATTAGAGTTTGCATGAGAATAAGCAGCCTTTGTTCCCATCAGGGAATAAAGCATCCATCAGTAGATGTGGGAAGTCCTTTCATTAATGTGAAGTTTAAATCCTCTGCATGCAGTGCCTTTTCTCCACGGCCTAACGTCATGTTGTCAGTTTCCTATTGTAGTCAGGCACAGTGAGAAATGAAGGACTGGCAAGGACCGGCTAACTGTGTGTGCAGATGAAAGAACAGAAAGAACATGTTTTGCATGAAGTGATCACCCCCCCCACACACGCACACACTGACACACACACACACCCATCATTACCACCCTCTCCAGTGCTTGGCTGCCTGATTGTTCAATGACTGTTCCTTACAGATTTATCAGAATTACTTTACATATTGCCAACATGTTCAAAAGGTCTTTGGATTGATTAGATCTTTGATGCAACCATTGTTTTCTGTGACTTGTCACTGTTGGTGATGTCAAGGATGATCCAAGACCTCCATGACTTTGGACTAGAGCATGGATCACGCTGTATATTTCTGTCTGAACCCAACCTATGTTTGAGAGCATGACATCCTAACCTGTCCAGACAAGCTTATAGTTTATCATTAAACAAAGCAAACATTTAAGTGCTTCAGCCTTCTAGCCTGAAGTTTGAAGTTTCTATAGACTTTTTGGATTATTACAGAAAATAACCTTTGTGACAAACAATGGTTTATGAGATTTAGACGTTGTGTTCAGCAAGATAATCTTCATAAGTGAGCACCACTTTTATGATTTTTGAACCCCAGATACAGTCGCCAGAAGTAAAAAGCTTTTGTTAGGCTATAAACAACCTACACCAAGGTCCCATGACTTCAACATCACCACTGTTTCCAACTTTTAGTTTGATTTATAGCACTTGCGTCTACAAAATCCTTTCCTCTTAGTGTGACTTGATCTAGCTAGTGATCATGGCTGTGTCAGTGATTAGTAATCAAAGCTGTAAAGACAGGCGAGTGACTAGATTAGTCTCTGGGATGATATGTAAAATCCCAGACAACCTCTGTAGTTTCACTTTACCATTTGTTAGTAACCTCCTTTTTTAAGAATTCAGTTTTCAGTTTGTTTTTATTTGTATAGTGCCAAATCACAACAAAAGCCATCACAAGACACTTGACAAAGTCAGGTACTATTACTATTATTATTATAGAGGAAAAATCCAACAAATCCCCCTTGAGCAAACACTTGGCGACAGTGGGGAGGAAAAACTCCTTTTTAATGGAAGAAACCTCCGACAGACCCCGGTTCTTGGTGGGCGGCCTTCTGTCTCGAGAGGTTGGGGTGAGTGGATAGAGGAGAGACAAAAGTAAAGAAAAGCAACAGGACACAACAATAAATAATTAAACACTGGACAGAGTGATGTGGCTGGTGACTGCTCATGAGAGGGAGAGAGAGAGAGAGCACCCAGTTAGTGAAGCGTAATGGTGGCATATCGATGCATGGGGAGAGAGGAGAGGAGCTCAGAGCATCATTGGGTGACCCTCAGCAGTCTATGCCTATAGCAGCATAACCAAGGGAAGGCTCAGGGCCAGCCCTAAATATATAAGCCTTATCAAAAAGGAAAGTCTTAAGGGTAGAGAGGGGTGTCTGCCTCCTGAACTGAGACTGAGAGCTGATTCCACAGGAGAGGATCTTGACAACTAAAGGCTCTACCTCCCTTTCTACTTCTGTAGACAGTGAGTTGAAAGATTCAGGTGCTAATTCTCTGCTGGGTCATCACTACCAGTGATGCTTTTCACATAGCCACATGGTTTTCACATTGTCATTCGATACACTGTTGTTATTGTTAAAAGTATTA